TAACACCGAAGAGGCCATTGGTGAATCAGCGTATGCTGGACATTCTCTCTCCAGTCCTTTAAAGTCCATCAAACTCTCTGACATCTTCAGAAATCCTCCTGGAAACTCCCTAGGACTTGTTCATGCCTTTCGTCTGTCCGTCCGTCCTCCTTCCAGCAACAACTGTAGTATTTTCCTCTACAAACCATTGTGTCAATAAATGATTTTACAACAACAATTGCAGTGTATTCTCCATAAACCACTTTCTCAATAAATGGTTACAAAAATTATTACAAGTGTCCTTCATTATATAACACTTTCTTAACAAATCGTTTAACAACAACCTCGGGTGTCTTGCTTTATAAAAACACTTTCATTATATAAAGTTACAATTGTGGTTAACTATAATACATAAGTACTTCATACACAAAAAAGGCATAATTATAATAGAATAATTGCATATTCATAACAAGATGAATATATCTGCAGAAATAGACAGTTGTCTCCTTTACACGCAGGCGCAGAACGCGCATTCTAGCTGACATTCTAGCGCATTCGGCTGACGCCAAAGTCAATGGGAGTCAATGGGATGCTAACAGCAGGTGATGGTCTGCTACAATGGCGGCGCCCGGGGAAGCTTCAGTTTCTGGTGGATGGATTACCCCCTTTGGCGACAACAAAGTCGGCTTTGATCGGCGTTGGCTTGGTCAGTTCCAGGACGTGAAAGGGGCCGTGTTTCAAGATACGCGATAGAGTAGACCAAACTAATTAACGGGGAGGGAGGGCAATACACTCACATGCACACAAAACACTTGTCGGGATCGACTCACTCATCCGTTTGCGTAGAAAAGACATGTAATGATTTCCGTAATTATTATTTTTTTGTCATGATTCCGGGTGGGCCGGCCCATATTGGCCAGGAAAAATCCCGCTGCTCCAAAATATTTAATAGTAATAATCCCTGAAGTAATTAGATTAATCCAGTAGCTTTTCTCTCAGCAGACTAACGTTACTGTTGTTAGCACTTAGCACTAGCATTAAGCAGGGAGGGGCTCCAGTGAGGGGGAGGAACTGAGTAAATTTAGGCTCATGTTGGTCGTTTTGATAGTTTGTTTTCCAATTTGAAACGAAATAAGCAGAAACGAGAAAACGGCGCCTTATTCGTTTTTTCGTTTTTTTTAAAAAAACGAGATTTCGGTTGATTTTTCGTTTTTTAGTTCACAGGCAAAAACGAATAAATTACTTTAAAATTAGTTTTCCACATGTGGGCGGTCCTGAGACGCCCCCTTCCGCCGATTGGTCAAGCAAATCTGAGCATGTGACGTCATCAGTCGTCGCTCGGGTCTGTTCAACAAAATAATAGTCCTAAAAACAAAACAAAATAATAGTCCTCTACTATGGTTACCGATTCTTAAACTGTACAGGGCAGGTCCTATTGGGCTTATTTCTTCTGTGCAACTTTACGCGTTTCACAGAAATCTTTACATCAGAAATATTATAAATATTATAAATATAGAAATATTAAATATTAGTCTGCCACTAGCCCGTTTATTTAGCTGTGCGGAGTTAAATCTGTTTGGTGAAGCTGCGCTTGACAGCGGCGAGCGGGAGAGGCATTTATTTATTAATTTTGAACGGTAAACAGTCAGTTTCACCAGAACTACTTTACTAGGTGTCCTCTATCACTTTTTAACGGACACCCTGCAGCCAATCAGAATCGAGTTTTCACCCAGACCATGGTATAACTTCAGTTAACAAAAACACAATTTAAAAAGTCTTTAATATAAGTGACTTTGTCTTTGTTTTATTGTTTTTGATGTTTTTAATCAAATAACTGTGAACCACAAACCGATCGAGCCTTCGTTTTAAAGGGCGATTTCCAAATATATTTTATTTATTTGTTATAATATGGGTATTTTATGTCACCTTATTAGTTTGATTATAGTATACGTGAGTTTTTTTATTGTACTATTTTATTGTTGTTTTTTAATTAACAATATATCATAATGACTTCTTGTTCGGTACCTAAGGGGTTAACCCGTCAACGTCAGTGCTCAAACAAATACATATGAAATGCACAACGACACACCTAAAAAAATTTTTAAATGTCACATTCATGTATACACAGATCCACACAAAGCTTACAGAGAAATGATGTGATTTTCATGAAGTAAAATTCAATCTGTGTCCATGAATCACCCAGACATCACAACCAAATATATTATGACCAAGTCTATAATGTCTTTAAAGTTCCTATGCCGTCTGGTGGATCTGCAGTGTGTTTTCTGATTCAGTTGTGCTGCCATCAGTCACCAATGGCTCTTGTATGGCTTTATTGCAATGATTAAAGCATGTCTTCTGTCACCATGTTACTCGCTTAAAGAAAACACCAATAAACATGTGTTGCCTGACTCTCGTAGGAGTCTTTCTTCATATACCCAAGCAGTGTTTTTCTCAGATAACTCAATACTTTGCCCCGTAAACAAACATCACAATCACAATGTATTACAGCTGTATGTGCAAATGTGTCCCACTAACCAAAACTGAAGAGTTCAGGAACCACATGTAACTGAATAGAGCAGATATACAGAGGAAAGATCATTATAAAAACAGTCTTTGGCCTGGAAAAACAAATAAAGTATACTTTTCCTCACTATGGTGTCCTGAGAATCACTGTGCACTGTGATCTGCACAGAGAAACTCGATCATGCTTGAGAGGTCATAGCAATAATGTGGAAGTTGATCGGTGTTTAAAAGAGCTATAGCATGTATTTGTGATATATTCCCTTTTTCAATAGGACATTGCTAATGTACTGAATTATAAGAGGGTATACGCTCAGAAAATATCCTGAGCTGAAAAATGTAATGCAACTTCCACTCGCCACGAAATCCAGAATCAGGAAACAGAAATAATGAGCACTTTAGTTACAGAAGAAATCGTCAGAGATGCATTTTATACACAGCTCACTGTAACTAACACAATTATTATGGTTTAATTAGCTTGTGGGAAAGGAATTTTTAACTGGTTATTAGGAGTAAATAGTTCTGACTTTACATTAGGTCATGGATAAAGGGAACATGGCATTTCGCTTTAAACCAATGTTTATTAGACATTAATTGTGTTCATATTCATATTGGTATTCCCTAGTGAGCTCACGTGCTCTACTGAATCAATAGGAAATTGTGTGATTTGACTGAGAAAACATTGCCTAACGAGACACCGTTTTTAAATCTAAAACTCCCTGTACATTCTTACAACACAAACACCCTAAGCATTTAAATGGGTATTTGTTTAAAGTCGGGAACACCTGTGGACTCTTTATCTGGTGTTGTCTTTATTCCCCAGCCCAACAGCGCCCTCTCATGGCCGGAAACTGCACTGAGGGTTCAAACCATGTAAACATTGTTATGTAGTTTCACTACATTATTATCCCACAAGTACTGTACTAAAGTACACTTTTTGAGTATTTGTACTTTACTTGAGTATTATTATTTTTCTGGAAACGTTTTACTTTAACTTCACTACATTTGAAAGACACATATTGTACTTATTACTCCACTACATTTCTGTCGAGGTCCGTGAGTAGACAGTAGTAACATCAGTCAGGGGAGGATTTTGGTTGCAGACGTTGCATTTTGGTTGGAAATGAAAGTCGGGTTGACGTCAGAAGAAGATTTTAATTGTCAGCGTTGGGTTTGGTCTTCTAAATGCGCATTTTGCCATTGTTTTGGAGCACACTAGCTTATAGATGGCAGCTTATAGATAACAGCTTATAGATAGCAGCTTATAAAGAGCAGAAGGCTAACATATTCATTCTAAAGGCCAAACAACTTTAAATAGGGCACTATTTGAGGGATCAGCCATTTGTGTGTCCAAACCCATTGTGGGCGTTATTACTCAAGCTCACATCCAATCCCACGACTGGAGCTGTGTTCTAGAGACACATGTGGTATTGATATGAGGGCAGCACGCATAGATTCAGTAAGTATTACATACAACAAGGCAACAATAATAAAACAATGCATTGATATTTACTTTTGATACTTAAGTACTTTTAAAAACGAGTACTTCTGTACTTATACTTAAGTAACGGATTAATATTGACCAGTAGTATCTGTACTTTCACTCAGAAGTTGTGTACTTTGTCCACCTCTGTATCATCATCATCATCATCATCAGGTGTGTGATCATCATCATCATCATCAGGTGTGTGTTCATCATCATGATCATCATCATCAGGTGTGTGATCATCATCATCATCATCAGGTGTGTGATCATCATCATCATCATCATCAGTCGTGGTCATTAGCGTCAGCTGGTCCTCTAACTCGTCTGTGGTTGTAAGATAAATCTGTCCACAGTGTCGCTGATGATGTAAGTAACGTCATCATCATCATCATCATCATCATCATACTGAACCAGTGGTGTACATTTGTTTAATGTCTGTATAGTTTCTATCAGTTTAAGTTGTTATTTTAGTGCCTCGAGTTAGAGTTGCATGCGTGCGTGTGTGTGTGTGTCTGTGTGTGTGTGTGTGTGTGCGCATGCGTGCGTGTGTGTGTGTGTGTGTGTGTGTGTGTCAGTCTGTGTGAGTGTGTGTGTCTGTCTGTGTGTGTGTGCGCATGCGTGCGTGTGTGTGTGTGTGTGTCTGTCTGTGTGAGTGTGTGTGTGTGTGTGTGTTTTGGAAAAAGTTAAAAAAGCCTTGAAGTTTGATGGTTTATAGACAGAGTAGGACAGACAGATAGATAGATAGATGGATGGACGAATATTACAATAATACATTTAAATAATATAACAAACACAACATCAAGTAGTCACTGAACTGAATCAACTTGAACTGAGTCTAAGTGAATAACGACACAATTTTCAACCGTAGAGCTGAAACTGAATTCATAATTGATGAACTTTGCAACACCGACACAGTTTTATTGAACTGAACTGAATCAACATGGACCTGATTAATAACAATATTGTCTTCTGTAGGGCTACTTTACAACAGAATTAGAACTGGTCTCATCATTGATTCTGTGTATGACCGTGAGGATCTGCACGGTATAAAGCGCTGTGGAGATGAAGAGTTCCTCAGGGCTCGTCCTGCAGGAACCAGACCTCGTTCCTCCGCCCGTAGGGTTTGATTGGCGGGTCGTAGCTGCAGCACAGGTACTGCTTGCGCTGGAAGGGGGCGGAGTCTCCCAGCGTGACCGTCAGACGCGACGCCTCCGCGCGGAACTCGCTCTCTCCTGCGAACCCCCCGAACTGCCTGCAGGGGGAGACAGAGGCGCGGTTAAGGCCCGTTCACACCAGGAACGATAACTATAACGATAACTATATTCACGTTCACACCAGGAACGATAACTATAACGATAACTATATTCACGTTCACACCAGGAACGATAACTATAACGATAACTATATTCACGTTCACACCAGGAACGATAACTATAACGATAACTATATTCACGTTCACACCAGGAACGATAACTATAACGATAACTATATTGATAATAACTATATTCACGTTCACACCAAGAACGATAACTATAACGATAACTATATTCACGTTCACACCAGGAACGATAACTATAACGATAACTATATTGATAATAACTATATTCACGTTCACACCAGGAACGATAACTATAACGATAACTATATTGATAATAACTATATTCACGTTCACACCAGGAACGATAACTATAACGATAACTATATTCACGTTCACACCAGGAACGATAACTATAACGATAACTATATTGATAATAACTATATTCACGTTCACACCAGGAACGATAACTATAACGATAACTATATTGATAATAACTATATTCACGTTCACACCAGGAACGATAACTATAACGATAACTATATTCACGTTCACACCAGGAACGATAACTATAACGATAACTATATTGATAATAACTATATTCACGTTCACACCAAGAACGATAACTATAACGATAACTATATTCACGTTCACACCAGGAACGATAACTATAACGATAACTATTTTGATAATAACTATATTCACGTTCACACCAAGAACGATAACTATAACGATAACTATATTCACGTTCACACCAGGAACGATAACTATAATGATAACTATAATCACGTTCACACCAGGAACGATAACTATAACGATAACTATATTGATAATAACTATATTCATGTTCACACCAGGAACGATAACTATAATGATAACTATATTGATAATAACTATATTCATGTTCACACCAGGAACGATAACTATAACGATAACTATTTTGATAATAACTATATTCACGTTCACACCAAGAACGATAACTATAACGATAACTATATTCACGTTCACACCAGGAACGATAACTATAATGATAACTATAATCACGTTCACACCAGGAACGATAACTATAACGATAACTATATTGATAATAACTATATTCATGTTCACACCAGGAACGATAACTATAATGATAACTATATTGATAATAACTATATTCATGTTCACACCAAGAACGATAACTATAACGATAACTATATTGATAATAACTATATTCACGTTCACACCAAGAACGATAACTATAACGATAACTATATTCACGTTCACACCAGGAACGATAACTATATTGATAATAACTATATTCACGTTCACACCAGGAACGATAACTATAACGATAACTATATTGATAATAACTATATTCACGTTCACACCAAGAACGATAACTATAACGATAACTATATTCACGTTCACACCAAGAACGATAACTATAACGATAACTATATTGATAATAAC